CTGCAAAGCTCCCTCGGTGTGACCCTCCCCTTCCCGCCCCTTCCCCTCCCCCACCAGCCCGATCTGGGTTCTTGGGCGCTTATTGTTTTAATGAAAAAAAAATTTTGGCTGTTGTTGTTTTGGTCCTTGATTGTGAATTTTAGCTGCGAGTAACGTGTCCTCGCTCCTCTCAGGCTCTCTCGGAGGGTTTTCAGAGAGGTCTCAGTGCATCCATGTTCTCAGATCCTCTCCTTTTGGGGCAAGGACGTGGGGCCCTGGAAGCGCCTTCGCGCGCAGAGGCGGCAGCTTGGGCTCCCGGACGGGTCTGCGTGGTGGCCGAAGCAGCTCCCGGGTGTCGGCGGCGGCTCTCCTGGGCTGGACGCCGTGAGGGGAGCAAGCGGATTTTCTCAGCAAGATCTCCATGTACAGCTACATCTTTAGGGCCGCTCGGGTTAATATATGTCGTCAGAGGCTCCTCACGCCAATCCCGGGGCGGCGGGGGCGGCGCCTTGAGCTCTCCGCAATAAAACTTTTTGATGTTCGCGTTGCTAATTGCCGAGGTCCTCTTCCAGGATTGGCTGCCCCCTCATAACCATAAGATAATTAAAACTGGGGAGGGGCAGAGTAAAAAAAAAACTTTTTTTTTATCATCCAGAGGTTAATGCAAGTGTTTAACAGATGCTTTACTATTAAAATACCCCCCCTACTCTCAAATATTGAAGAATCTTAAACCAGGTATAGTACCATCTACTTTCTTTTCTGGTGGGGTGGGCCCGCAGATTCTGCTTTTTCGAGTGTTTTGTAGGTAACAGAGGCAGAAAAATGATCCCAGGCAGACGCGTGCAGTTTTGTTCCGGGCGCCGAGAGCCCAGCGAGGGCGTGGGGACCCCATTAAGAGGCGCTGCGGGCGGACGCGGTATCCTCTCCAAGACGCCCGGCGCCCTGGGGAAGGTGGTCCTTCCAGCAGGAACTGGCTGGGAACACTCGTCTTGCCGGCTGTTGGCGGTTGCACCACGTTTCCTCGCTCAGAGCTGCGTGGGGTGGCTCAGGTTATTGTGACAACTGGTGGAGATCACGGCTGAGACCCCCTGACAATCGGTCAGGACCATTGTAAATGTTTTTATTACTCTCATTCCTCAGGGACATCAGTCCCAGCGGAGACTTTGGACAGTTTCAAAGTGCGGGCACCTCGATTCCCCGAATCTTTGGTGTGGCCGGGATACGTGTGACCCTGGTTTAAATAGCCTGTTTGGTAAGTAACTGAATATTTTTTAACAGCGTGTTCAGAGCTAATTTTCCAGTTCTTATGAACAAACATATAAATATCTCTGCATTCCTGCCTTTCCCATAAAAGCGGGCATCTGTGGAAAGCAGGTTTAGTTATCGGAGGGGAACCATTAAATGCCAGTTTAAGAGGCAGGCCCGGAGGACGGCTCGTGAATGTTTAGACTGTTGGCCTTGCCGATCTTGAACGCATTATAACGGAAAGTGGATCTCCACTCGTAAGTCACCAGCCATGGGACACCCAGGCCAAGGCGCCCACAAGGCATGAGCTTCTCAAGACCTTTCCCAAAAGGGAGCAGTGGGGTGGTCATCGGGGAACTAAAATCACCTTGGAGATTTGGCCTCAGCGGCATGGAAAGGCTGTTGTGTTCATGGGATTCTGCCTGTGGAAGTGTCAGCAGGAGCCCCGCCGGCTGTAAATTACAGAGAATAGAGGGCAGTAGGTGCAGAGGGCAGTGCAGGGAGACACCAACGACTCCACTTTGGGCATCGCCTTTTGTAGGCAAGAAGAGTTCAGCTCCAGACTGCAGAAGGAGCACCTCTCCAAGGACTCCTCAAGGACATTTCTCTTCTTACGCATTAATGCTTGCTGCCAGCTCTGTGTTGGCTCAGGCTGGAAAGCCAGGTCAGAGTGAATGAAGGCTGCCCAACTTGGGTGCTGTGGTGGGCTCCCTGTTCAGGCTGCTGCCAATCCCAGAGCCCTAGGCAGCAGCGTCAAGAAATATATGTATTTTTAGGTTTGCTGCTGCTGTACAGTAAGAATAAGAAGAGAAGTCATAGAAACAGATGTAAAAACCTGGTTTGGAAGACAATGGTGGGGCCTTTCTTCCTTTCCATATTGGGTCAGTTTTCCAGGACACCCTAGCAGATCCCTTAAGGGGGAGAACAGTATGAAAGGAGGTGCCAGCAAGCATGCCAGGGGCTTGTATTTTGTATCAGAGTAAAGTAGTGACTACTTAACTTTAAACTCCTAACTTAAGTGGATCTGCTGTTTTGGGCACAAGAGTCTTTTTAAGAATTGCTTCTTCAAAGAATGAATACAGGTAGTGTGGTCTGGGATTCTGTTTACACTTTTACCAGGAGGCAAGCCGAGTGTAAATACTGGTAGTTCAATATTCTGACATTTGATAACTTTTTAAAAGGCCTGTTTATAAAAACATATTTAGGCCTTGTGACCAGGTGACTAAGTAAAGTGGTTGCACCAAGGAATGGGTAAAATTTTAGGGAAAGTTGTTTGGCTGCTTTTAGAAACAGAGTTTTGGGGAGTGGAGGGAGGAAGGAGAACTTAAAGAGCTGGGTTGGGGTCTGAGAAGCTGCCCAGCGTCTGTTGTAAAGGATTGGAATTTGCCACATTTAGCTTTTTAATTTGAAACAAACAACAAAAAAAAAAATGGGTGAATCCATTCATGGCCTCAGGTAACATTACAAGTAATAAAAGAAATAGAAAACACAGAACAGAGAAGAGCAGTAAAAGATACTCATCTGAACAGCAGTCCATCTACAGCATCATTATCAGTTAATTATTATGATCTAGGAAATCTTCAGCATCATGTATCTCAGAATTCAAGCACAGAGGCTAGAGCCTTAGAAAGGTGGTCTGTAGGTGGCTTGGAGAAAAGGGACAAATGAGTGAACTCTAGTGATGTCCCCAGCTGTCCTAAAACTGACTCAGGGAGGCCACCCTGGCTCTGACCACCTGAGATTTGCTTTGAATACACAACTGAGCACTTCCAGTTTTCCTTTTAGTATCTTTGTGGAACATTTTGCTCCAAGAATCCTGGGGTGCTTTGTTGGCCTGCTGCTTTAGAAAGCTGTAAGGCTCAGAGGCCATCTCAAATTTGTCTCCAAATTAGGTGGGCTGTGTGTACAAGGATGATATTAATGGAGGTAATGGGAGTGCTGGTGATGGAGGAGAGGTGAGTGCTGATGATAAGGGGAAAGCAGGAGGACAGGTGTTGGATCTCCTATGGGATATCAGCTTGGGGACCCCTCTCTTGGGTTGTATTACTGTTAGGTCTAGCACACTGCTCCCCCAAAGATACATATTCGGGGTTCTCAAAGGGCACAGGGAACTGCAGCAAGGCTGACTGAGGGCAGCCCGGGGTATCTTGGGAGGAATCCTAGCCAGAGACTGCACCTCTTCTCCCAGGAGGAGGGCTGTGCCTCACCAGGTCTGGAGACCCTTCACAGGAAAGCAGCCCAGGTGCAGAGAAGGGCTATGACTCTGGGTCCAAAGTCTTCCTTGTAGCTGGTGGTGTACCTGCTGGGCTGTGCGGTACCGCTGTCCCAGCCAAAGAAACAGAACCTGGTTCAAACATTTATTTCGTGCCCATGTCTCTTGTCTTTGCTTCACACCCACTGCCGCTTCCTCTGGAAAATATTCAAACAGCCCAAGAAAGGCTGAGCACTCCTTTGCAAACGTTTTGGTCTTGTGAGATATTACTTTAAAAATCAATCTAGGTTAAACTAAATATTTTTTTAAACTTCAGTCCATTTTTAGGGAAATACAGATCTTTTTGAGGTATTTATTATTTCAAAGGCAAAGACAATTTTGTGTCTTGCGTTTTGTTCATGAGAATTCAAAATAAACTAGACCTGAAAAGAACCAGGCCAGAAGGCCATAAACACACATTTTATATTTACAGGAATTATGGCTCAATCTCCTTCATCATCTTTCAAACCTCTTCTTACCTTGTTTTCTTAAGCAAAGAAATGATTTTTGGGCATTCTCCTAACATGTATAAGAAGGAGAACTTCAGAACACGCTAAGAAACCCAGACAGAATATCATATCATACCCTGAAGGTGACAGAGCAAAGCAATGTGTTCTTGAAGATGTACCCTCAGCCCCACCTGTACCAAGGACAGTGCTTCTTGTGACACTGAAGTTCTGTGTTGTTTTTTTTTTTATCTATCAGGGTGGGACTGAGTCATTTTACATGTTAGCCACTTGTCCCAGAATGTCTAGGACATTCAGAACAAGGCGTGTTGTCCAAGTGGCGGCAAGGATCTCCTTCTGTGATCTTGCAGTTCCTCCCTTTTTTGTTTTTCTTTTGGGAAATAGTTGTTTACAGACAGGACAAGTGATAATAATTCAGAGTACACATCTACAAAGTAGAATCGAGTTCGATTGGACTTTTATGTCTATTTCAAAAATGAAAAGCATGAAAAGCTGTCCTTGACTTTTATGTGGTTTGATTTCTTCTTGGATTTGGTGTGGGGGCGGGGTTTTGGGAAGAGGGCCATCTTCCCTCCTGTTCCTTACCCAGAGCAGATCTGTGGAGATGGACAGAGGAGGGGCTGGTCCAGCTGCAGGGATGACTGTGGAAGGGTTGATTACTCTTAGGAATCCTTCAGTCCAGTTCTGATTAGGAAATATGTCAGTAGAGAAAATCAGGACCTACAAAACTCCTGTTACATTTTCCTCTCCTTTCCCCTGTTCCTTTCTGCTCTCCTCTCTCCTTTTGTTTCTTCCTTCCCTTGTAATTCACTTTCCATAAATGTTTTGATTTCAAAGTGTGTGTGTGTGTGTGTGTGTGTGTGTGTGTTTCTCATCACTGAACCTGTGACTGATGTGAAAGAATGACCTACTGATTTATTTTTAAATCCTTTAAGAAAATGTTAATATCTGTATTACAAGCAGTAGAATTTCCACTTTCTCCAAATAATTTCTATGACTAGGTCGTCATGTTAACTGGTAGATGTGTTACTGTGCTGGAGAATTTTAATTGATGTGAAAGAACTAAATACTTTGATAGGTACCCAAGTCTGTGAAACTAAAATACTCATTCAGGCTAAAGGTAATATAAGATAACGACATAAAAGGGCCTTACAAAAATTAGCATACTGTATATGCATAGGAGTTGTTTTTAGTTTTTTATAATAGTCCTAAGGGAAATGGTAAATCTGATCTTTGTTAATCTTTGCTACTTTGTTTATAGAATTTTAAACAAAAATGGCATAAAATACATCCTAAATAGTCATCCACATTATTGTTTTAAGCAAACTATATACACAAATATTTTCAAGGTTAGAGACAGGGCTTAGTGCTACAACATGTGCCTCACATGTTCATGGCCCTGGGTTCTATTTGCCAGCATTGCTAAAAAGAAAAGTAAATAATAAATAATGAATTAGTATTAGAAAAGAAATATTTCTTATAAGTCTGAAGGAGATCAGTCAGAATTCAAAAGAGGAAATAAATGTTATAGTGCATATTGTGCTCTATGGAATGAGTAGGTAAAGTACTTCAACTATAGAATGTAATGCAGTCTGGGATTCAGAACAAAATATGAATGAAAATGGCAATTTAAAATGTGGGGCTTTGGAGAAACCATTTATGTGACTGAAAGTTTTGCTGGTGACTTGAGGCCCCAATGCATTCCCACTTCTAACTTTGATGTTGCTTACATTCCTGGGAAATCCTGTTCTGTAGCTTCCTTTGCAAATTTACATGGATGGACTTCTTTAGCTCTAACTGTTCCTTCCAAACCTTTTCTACATTCTTCTGGGGTCTTTGCTTATAGACAAGGGACTTAAGCCAGGGTGGTTAGGTTTCAGGTTAACAAAAAGAAACACTTTTATTGTCAATATTAATGGCAAACCTCGATTTTTACAAGGCTTGGGTTTAGCAGCATGAGCAGATCAAAAGCAGCTTAGCTTCATTTCTCAATATTCTCTGGAGCTTAGACAATTAACTGCAATTTTGCTTCTAACGAAAGAACGTGAAAAGTTAGTTACAGAAATGTTAAGGTTAATGTTTTGGCAGAGGTTTGGTTTATTTTTTATTTTTTTTAACCTGGGTACAGTACCTCTGAAGCTAATAAATTTATCCATTCAACTTGTGTTAAATTTTGAAGGAAAATTCCTTAAGAAAATGCGTGTGAGCAGAGTATCCTCATTTGTAATGCCTTGAGCCAGTTTCGATGTGTGCATTCCATGCTAGCCTTTCTGGCTGGGTAAGGATCCGGCAGACTGAGGCCTCCCTGGTAATTTGGGTACACCGAGTCTCCAGTTAATGATAGATAATCAGCCTTTGGGTCATTCGGTCATTCTCTTATTACAAACCCCTCCTGCTCTCTCTGATCTCCTTTCAAACTAAATTTCACACAAACAAATAAAGCAAGACAGGGACAAGTTCTTAAAAAAGAGGGAGAAATATTAGAAACTTCTGATACAGAACTCTAAACAAGGAAAGGCAAGCTAAAAGAGGATAGGAAAGAACATCTTATCAAAATGAACATGTTGTGTACAAAACATTAAAAGAAAAGACTCTGGTTTTTGTTAAAGTGACAGAAAATTAAAATAAAAATAATTGCAGGCAGAAAAGTTATAATATAAACAGAGAAGGCAGGATGCTTGTTGGAAATGCGCAGCACTTGCAGGCTAATTTGTTGTTACAGATTATATAGCCGTACTGTGACTGAAGAAGTACTACTTTGTTCCACTTTCCACAAGAAAATGGTTTTCTTTTTTAATGCTGTGTGAGTGCCCATTAAAGCTAACACAGGCCAATACCTTGAGGAACAAAAAAATGGACTCGCAATCTGATTGCGAAGCGTCCAACTTCAAACAAAGAAATTGGTTGCATACAGAAAAAGCACAATTCCAGTCTGAATACATTTGGAGACTTCACTGAATGGGTGTGACTGATGCTTCTTTTTTTCTTTTTGTGACAGAAGATGCAGTTCATTCTTAGGAAAATACAACGGAAACCAGTCCTCCCCACCCTGGGGTCTTCGCTTTCCTGGTCTGCATCTGCCTGTGACTTCAGAAAGCCACTTCACGTGGGCCAAGGTAATCTCAGTTCAGATCCTCCCGGGAAAAGCGCGGGAATGTGGGGCCCTAGTACTTAGGACCTCAGGTGAGAGCGCCTCTAGTGCCATTTTTCTGTCCCTGTTCCTAGCAGGTCTGTTTGGCCTACTTTCAGTACAGGGCTCCAGAAAGGTCAAAGATTACCACTAGTGTTGCTTCCAGGCCTTAGGTTTTCAATCCTAAAAGGAGTTTGGATTCAATCAACCTGCAGTTAGAGATGGCAACAGGTGGTGAAAGTGCAACTCCTGCTTTATTCCCAGTTGTGGGTCTGGCATTCCTTAACTTGCCAGCATCCCTGGCAACAACCCAACGCTCTCCCTCTCTCATGTTGGCTTGGAGAATTCACACCTCTTTGTTGCTTCTAGGCCCAAGCAAAACACCCGAAGAAGCCTTTCTAGGCTATCACTACCCCTCTTGCTCCCCCAAATCTAGTCCTGTTTATGAACTCCTTTCTGGTGTTTTCACTGCTATTCCCTTTGTAGTTCTCCCTCCTTCAGCTGTGGATTCCTTGACACCTCAATTAATACATTGCAGCAAAAAGATATAGTCTGTGGAAAAGAGATTTAGAGAAATGTAGTACAGAATTGCAATCTGATTGGTTTTCCTTTATTTTGAAAGTGACTAGAGCTGGCAGAGGGGTTGGAAGTGGGTTGTTGGGAACAGACCTTCAACTCCAAGCCTTTGGAAGAACTGAGGAAAGAGTCTTCCTTATCGGGTGGGACTGCAGCAGGCCTACTCCAGGCTGGCCCAACGAATACCCAGGCTCAGCATCCTGAGCTCCAGAGTCAGAGCTGGCCGGGGCTCCCTTGGCTCTCCACGGAGGGGCTGCCTGATGTGGTTCAGCTCTCTAAACCTTAGTTTCCCTACTGGAGCTCTGGGGATGGACAGCACAGCCCTTGGGGTGCACGGACTAGGAGAGAGGAGTGAAGGCACCCTCCAGTGAGTCACCCGATTCACAGGCTGCCCTAAATATTCTCTCCCAGTCTGTCGGGGTTTCCTCTCTCTTCCAGCTGCCTGAAGACCAGCCAGCCGCACAGCGACGGGTGCCACCTAGGCCAGGTGTACCTTTCCGCGCCGCCGATCCCGGGCATCTCCTGTCGCCGACTCCTCCTTCCAGCCTTGTCCCTCGAGCGGAGCAGAACTGCAGCTACGCGGGCATCTTCTGGGGCTTGGTCCCGGCAGGGCGCAGGCTGCACGACGGCGGCGGTAGCCTCGCAGAAATGCTAGGGGTACCAGAAGCCACCACCCGGATTTAAGCTGCTCTCCTCCGCCCCTGCCTCCTGATTCAATCCTCATTTTGAGCCCCAACACTTTCTCGATTCCTAGCACCCCGGAGCCAATTCTTGGTCGCTCCAGCGGGGCGAGGTCGCGGCTCCGGGAGGGGTGGACCCTCAGTATCCCCGAGCGTCTGAGGGGACTTTTCGCTGGGGGGGGTAGGAAAGGGTTAAACGCGCCTCCCTCTCACCCTTATTCTCAAGCCCCTGGCGCTGGGCGAAGGCCACGGTTTCCCTGGTGAGGTCTCATTAGGGGAACCCTCACTGCTATTTTCAACATTTCCTCAATCAAGTGTCTTTAAATAGAGCTGCACAAACAAATTGGCGGCAAAAGCGTAGATCTTGTCACGATGGAGACCAATCCAATATTTCAGCCTTGTTTGCTTTGCAATTAGGGGTTGGCTTGTGGCTGCGGTGCCACAGGGGCAGGTCTGCAACGGTCCGCCTTCTCCTCTGC